TTATGGCTCTGCAACTAGTGACTGAACACGATAGCTCCAATCAACTGTTATATGTGTAAATCAATAGACATATGGTCTACAAAAGTATTTAGAGTTGATTAAGTCGTTCAATTCTCTATTCATATCGAATCTTAATGTATCTAAATTACAGATCTCTTTTGCATTATAATATGATATCATATGATTAGATCATTTCTGACTAAATCTGAAACTTCTAGCAGTCAAAACTTTTAGTTCTTTCAGTTTCTATATACCATCTCACTCGTATAACAGTTACAGTCGCGAGAATCTTCTCGTCTTCTCACATGTAGCACAATTAACCCAGATTTGTAGCCGAGTGCCCCAGAACAATTCGCGCACTTGCCTCTGCTCAGCTTGCCTCAGCGCTCAGCGTCTGCTCCAATCGGATGGGCAATCGAGTCGAGCCCCCAAGGTCACAGTCGCATAGACCTACATATGTAGACACACATACATATGCATATGTATAGCGTCACTTCGGTACGCTTGATTCCCTAATGGACTTATCGGCCGGCTAAATCTCGGCTATCGCTCGCCAAATCGCGGCAAAATTGAGGAACGCCGTTTACAGCAGCCTGTCATAATTCGCCTGGCAGACAGCATCATCATCATGATCATCATCATCATCATCATCAACTAGAGCATCATCATCAGCTGCAACTGGCCATAGTTGTATCCACGTGCGAGGCAGCCCCGCTTGGCCGGCCAGACGCCTCATCCCGCCTGCATTAGAGCCACTTAAACGCATTTGCAAAATTGTCTGCCACCCACACAACAACAACAACAACAGCAACAGCAACAAGAACAACAACAACAAGAGCAAAGCGATTGTGCCTAAAAGCGCGATAATTTTGCACTGCATCAGGTGGAGTAGGAGCATGCGGGCAGAGAGGAGCAGCTGCATACACACTCAGTTGTTGTTGCTGATGATGATGATGATGTTGATGATGAGGTTATCACTTGGCGAAAAGTAAAGTGCATCCGTTTTTAGAATTGTCCGTCCGCGTAATCAAACTAAACTGGCGTAGAATTTACCTAGTCTGCCCCCGCTCCCATCTCTCCATCGCCAGCCCCTCCCACTAAGCCTCTGCCTCCGCCCACCTTTGCTGTGGTTTCGTCTCGCTGGCGTTGATTGCAGCTCTCGCTTGTTGTTTTTGTTTTTGTTTTTGTTTCAGCTGCATTAAGCGCATTTGATTGTGTCAATTGGCTCGCGCCTAGGCTCAAAGTGAAACCAAAAAAAAAAAAAAAAAACAAAGAAAATAAAATTTACAAAATATATATAGAAACACAGCTAAGCATGATCTAGGCATGTCAGCTCGACTTGGGGGCATACTCTTTAAAAATTTATCATTTAATGCAAATTTCTTTCACAAATTCTCTTAGCATTCCTGCTGGTTTTATTATAGAAATTTCTTAATGAAATGATTGCCTGGATGAGAGAATCTCCATAAGAAAAAATGTTTTTTTATTGCATTAATTATTCAGTTGCAATTATTACATAATTTTTAGCTTCTGCTGAAAAATTTTTATCTTATAAAGTTACAATTCATCCGCTTATCTTACAAACCTATCGATCTTTTGATATATATAATTAATCTTCACATAAATAACAGACATAGTCTATGCACAAACTCAACTCAAAACTGACAAAAACTTTGGCCAACTTACAAATACCCTTTCTACTAATTATGTTTAGGGTATATACGTGCAATAAAAATCAGTTGTGGCTGGGTTTAAATTGAATTATGTGCGCGATAGGCACAACAACAACAACAACAGCAACAACAACAAGATGACTAAAAAACGGCCACCCGCTGCCCGATGCAGTTGCTCCGACTGTGATCCGTGTCCAAGTGTCAACAATTGTGCCAGGCGACAAGGGGTATGGGTGGATTGGATAGAGAGGAGGTGGGCAAGGCAACCCTTCAAATTGTATTCGTCTTCGGGGCGCCCGCATATAGGAGCTCTACATATACATATATATGCATATATAAATATATATATTCATATGCACTCTTGACAATTGCGTGGTTGGTGTTTTGTTTTATTATAAATATTTTGATTGAATTTTCTGTTTAATTAAAGCAAATTGCTTTTTGTGTGCATTTGCCAACGGGTTTTTTTTTTTTTTTTTTGTTTTTTTTTTTTTTTKCTGCCTGTAGTTTTTCTTTCTTTGCGGCTGTTCGATCTCAATTGTTGCCGGGCAGAGAAAAGTTTTGTGGTCTGCGGGGGTCAGTTGATCAAGCAAATAAGACACACATATATATAAATGAAGAAAGGGAAAGAAAGAGGGAGAGAAAAAGAGAGATAGGGAGAAAAAGAGAGAGAGAGGGAGAGAGAGAGACAGGAATGCAATTTTAGTTTTGAAGATTCATAGTGATCAAAAAACTTACTTTGAGTTGATGTTTTTAAACTCAGTAATCAAATTAATTTGCTAGACATTATAAAAATCCCTATATATTTATAAATCGCCTGTTTAAAAACATAATAGAATATTAACGTAAAATATACATATTTTTTTTAACTTGTAAATTAATATTAAAATATTTTTCCCAGAAAAAAAAAGCAAACAAAAAAACCTTCTCTAAAGCCCACGACTGTCATCCATCCATCAACCTAATTGCATCAATCAATTTCCCATAGCTAATACCACTTACACCAGCTCAAAATAAATGCCAACTAAAAGTGTTAAATATATTGGAGCATTTGAATTTGGCATTTTGAATTCGCGCTGGCAAACCGAGCTGAACCGAGCGCCCCATTGGGCAGCGGATGCCAGCGCAGCTCCAAAAATATTTCCCCATTTCGGCATTTCGACAGCCAATTCAATCAAGCAATCAATAAACATGGCAACTAACCTCCGACTAGGCGCACTTGCACGATAATTCTATTTGCTAATTTAAATATGCCAAATTGTATTTTATTTTTGTGCGCCAAAACGTAGCCCCACTCGCCCACCCGCCCCACTCTGCCACACAGCAGAGCTAACCAACCCTAATTGAGTTGAACGAAATGAAAACGAATCGAAACTTGACGATGACAACAACAACAACTGAAAAGCGACAGCAGCAGCAGCAAATAAAAAACGGAATTTTTCGACCCCATCAACGGGCACCCACTCAATGGAAGTTGGAGCTGCAGAGTTGGGGCCGTTTGGGGCTCTGGCGTTTGCATGGCTGCCAATTAATTTGCGGTTGATCAATTCAATTTGTAGCTGTGCCCTTTCTTTCGTTTCGTTGTTTTTTTTTTTACAGCATTCTCCCAGTCTTCTTTACATAGCCCGGAGGTACGACTGCTCCGCCAGCCCTGCTCCCACCCCCTTTGGCTGGCGCACTTCTGGATTCGTTTGGCAAATTGGCCATTGATTTTCGGCTCCTTCTCTGTCCCGCTCCAGCACGTGTCTGGCTGCCGATTGGAGCTGACTGGGGCTGGGGAACCGCAGTGCCCGACATTCTGCACTCTTACTCTTCTTCTCCCATTTTCTTCTTTTTTTTTTGCTTTTAATTATCATCAATTATTCAAACTGCATTTGGAGTGATCAACTTTGGGGTCTGTACCCAATTACAGGGCGAGTGTTGAACTGCAATTCAGCTACAGCTTTCTTTTGCTCGTCTAGCAGAGTTCCTTTCTCTCTCTCTCTCTCTCTCTCTATCTCGGTTTCTCTCTGTTTCTCTCTGCCACTTCCTCCTTCCTCTACTCGCATCCTTTTTTATGTGCAGCTGAAGTGTTCACAAAATTTGTGCGATTTCTCACAGGAAAGGCATCAACACAAACACTTTTGGTGTGCCCCTTTCGAGTGGAGTGGAGGCACTTAAGCAATCCACACACACACACACACAGGCAGTCACACTCATGTGTATGTGTCTGTGTACTTGAGAGCACTTGAGCAAGATTTTTATCACATTTGCACTCATTAAGAAATTTTTAATACAAATTAAAAGCGTGTAAATAAATTATGCGCAAAATGCTTTTGCCTTCAATTCAATTCAAAGACAATCTGCTTGGATACCAAATATAAGATGTTATGCATATATGTGTGTATATATGTATATGCATATATATGTTGATTTATAGAGCCTCTAATATGCTTATGCTATCATGATATTTACTTTTTATACACTAGAAATATTTTTATTTGAGTCAATTAGAGTTTTATTTGATAAAAAAAAAAGGAAATTTTCTTAATATTTTATGTATATGTTGAGTCTGAATGCTGAAGCTTGCTATGAATTTCTTATATATCTATAAAGGTATTATACTTCTAAAATGGTAGGTATTATACTTCTCAAAATATTTCAGATTATAAAACACTATGCTGAATCATATCATATCATATAATCATATTGATATTACAAAATCATATTGTATGATTGAATATGAATAAGAATTAAACCGACAGGTAGATATGTAGAAAAACGATCAAGAAAATATATAGGACCTCACTTGATCAGAAGATATTTTCTACCATATCATAAAATATCATCATGGAGTATTATCATTTGACATTATATCATATTTTTTACCATTCGATCAACAAGCCTTACGTAGCTTAAACATAAATGATCAACATTTTTAATATTTAATAAATAAATAATAATAATAAATAAATTTATATGCAATAAGTTGTTCCTAGCTAGAAGAATATCCTTTCCCTATCCTATATCCTTTAAAACTTGATGTGATCACCTTGAATGTGAATTAATTAATATGCTAATAATTATGAGAGATAGATTGGCAAAAAATAGTCTGAGATATAATTAAAGTGATTTAATAAAGTTTTTCAAGCGATAAACATAAAATCCATATACAACAAAGTTGGCACCTATGCAGCATAAAATCCATGACAAATCTTTATAACTAACATTAGAAAACTTACAAGTTTCCCATAATTCTATTATATTAGATTAGCTTCCAGCACTTATCCTTAACATCTCATTATTTTCCACCGTCTAAGCAACTTCCAGCAGTTTTCTTCGACTTACCTTATTACCGTCTGTGAAAATTTTGGCAGTAATTCTTCAAGCGTGGAACGGAAAGAAATCCTTTGGCTTGTCTTGTGGAAAACTGTGAACTGTGAACTCTGAACTCTCCGAGCAAGCGAGGCGCAGGCAACAAAAGGTAAACTTTCGTCAGCGTCTAAAAGGCGGCTCAAAGCGTCAAAAGTTTAGTGAAGTGCGTGCGTGAGTGGGTCGAGAGTGAGAAGAGTTCAGGTATTTTGGGCAGGTGTGCACTTTGACGGTGCAACTGGACCAACTTTCGAGTCACACTCAATCAAAGCTCAAATTTAGCACATAAAAGTTTTCCAGTTAAACCTACGCACGCACACGCACACACACACACACACACACAGAGACACATATACGCTCAACACACGTGAGTTGATTGCCTTGGGTTTTTGGGTATTGTTTGTCTTTTCGCACTTTCCACCTGGGGTTAACCGACGCGAATGCACAAATTGCAATTGTTTGTCTTTGTCTCGTCTGCAATCCACACGTAGATTCGCATAGACTACCTCACTGTTCGACTGTTCGACTGTTCGACTGTCGTTGGCTGGCTGGCACTGTAATACTGTTGTTATACTGTTATATGCTTGGGAATGGCTGTGTACCGAACGCGTGCAACGGCTGATTGCGAATGATCTAACAGCGCACGCAGAGGCTGCGACGTTGTTTCTGCTGTTGTCGCTGTGGCTGTTGCTGCTGTGTTGCTGTTGCTGCTGTCGCTGCCACCGTCGCCGTCGACGTCGCTGTCATCGTCCAAAGATGGCCGCAACGGGGGTTGGGTTGGCTTCGGTGGTTCGGGCTTTTCAGCTCGGCCGCAGGCTCGTCGTCGTCGCTGTCGTGCTCAGCTSTCGTCTCGTTGCGCTTCGGCCCCCTAAGCGCCGCCTTTGCTGCCTGTTTGTGTATTTCCCTTTATTTTTTGTCGCGCACGCGCTGCGCTGCCAGCCAGCCAAAGCAGCGGCCCGACAGCAGCTGTGCTGCCGGCCCGTTCGCACAGCGTATTCGCGCTCTATCGCACACACGTAAGACAATTTTCTCATTTTTCTGCTTCTGCTGTTGCTATTTCTTCTTCTTGTTCTTCTGCTACTTGTTCTGCTGCTGGTGTGCGCGCATTTTCATTGTGAAATTGAATTTTCGGCATGGGAACGTCCAGGACGTCAGGGCGACGTTGACGTCGACGTAGTTGCCTGCCTTCTAATTTCTCCACACGGCAAGGCTACTTTATTTTATTACACCTTATGCGCTAGTATGTGTGTATGAGAAAGCGAGATAGACAGAGAGAGAAAGAGAGCGCGTGCGAGCAAGAACAAAGCGTCTCACTCGCTGAGGCAGCCTTAAATTGGATTTTCATCGTTATGCTTGCCGTTAAGTGAGCGCGGGAAGAGGTTGTTGCGGTAAGGCAGCAGCAGCAGCAGCAGCAGCACCAGCAACGAGAGAGTGAGAGAGCACAGTGAAAGTGTGAGCGTGTGTGTGTGTGCGAGTGCAAAGCTTTCATCCATTGTGCGCTGTGGGTGGTCCGTTATTGTTGTAGCTGTTGTTGCTGCTGCTGCTGCTGCTGCTGCCCTGACTAAAAGCGATTACTCACCGTTGGAATTTATTTGGCATATCATTTTTGACAACTCAATTTATTTTTATTAATTTGCAGCTGAGCAGCAGCGTCGACGTCGCCGTCGACTGCCTCACGCGCTCTCTCGCTCTCGCTGCCTCCCATCTCGCACTCAGTCGGTCTCTATTGCCATCAATACAAATCCCTTGCACAACATTTAAGTGAATTTCAGTTAATTTATTATCTTGCATTATTGCCTTTATTGTTATTTGCTGACTTTGCTTCGCTCTGACTCCCTCTCTCTCTCTCTCTGTCTCCCTCTCGCTCACTCTCCTGCTTGGTTGCCTGGCCGCCATGTTGGCACGGCCTGATCCATTTATTATTGTTTGCGATTGGGTCGTTGGCCACAATTACGAAATGAATTCGCCTGCCTGGGCTGCCTTCCCCTGCTCCTGCCGCATCCTCCTCCTTCTCCTGCCCAACTTGACTTTTGGGCGTTCTGCTTATCAGAAACTATTTTCGCCTGCCGCTACTGCTGCGTTACGTGAGCTCTGACTCCCTCGGCTTATTCTACTTCTTCATCTTCATCTGCTTCTCCTGCGGCTGCTTTGGGGGCCGCCTGTCAGCCTCGCAAATTGGCGCGCTGATTTATGAGTTTGTCTATTGTAACTTTTCTTTATCCCCCCTCTCCCACTCTATCATTCTCTCTCCGTCTCACTCTCTGTCCCATTTCATTGTTTTTCCTGCCATTAGTTTGTGTTTTAGTTCTATTAGTATTTCATTTCATTTTGCTTTGTTCTACTTTATTTCATTTTGTATCATTTTATTTGCCAGTTTCATTTTTCTTTTGCTTTCTTCTCATCGTTTTAGTGGAATTACCTGCTTAATAATAGATGCGCTGGGCTCCTTCTTCTTCTTATTCTTCTTCTGCATCTTATTTTTTTCCCTTGCTTGGGAAATTGCAACTGCAACTAAAGCAGAGGGCAGGGGTGGGTGAAAGGGGGCTGCTGTGGCTCTTGAGAGATTTTCCGCTTGAAGATTTGTTTTCTATTCGCTGGCAGTGTTGCAAAGTGTGTAAAAAATACAATGAAACCATTTGGTTCTTTAGTATTCATTTAGATGGGATTTACTTGGATAAGCATAAATTTCATGGAACTAGAAACTATATAATCAGAATAGCTAAGATAATTTATACGTATACCCGACATAATAAAGATCTAAGCTTAGGCACGCCAAGTTAATTAATTTTGAATCAATTAGCTTCATTGATCAGAGAACAAAAACGAATATTTATATAACATATTTGCTGTAAAATCTGTATCTGTGTGTTCGTTCTGCTTATATGTATGTATATCTTCAATACACATTTCTCAGTCTATTAATCTCAATTTTCTGTATCTCTCTCTCTCTCTCTCTCTCTCTCTCGGTATCTCTCTCTCTCTCTCTCTCACTCTGTCTTTCTGTCTCTCTCTCTATTTTTCCTCTCTTCTCTCTAATGATGTAGCTTTCTCTTCCGCTCTTTTCATGTTCATTCTCCTTGTCTCCTTATCACTCTCCTTCATTCATATCATCGTGCTTTTTCTATCGCCTTCTTTATTCTGTCTGACATTAGCGCCTTCCCTGCTTTCTACAAGATCGCTTTTACTTTATCGTTTATTATGGGGGTATTCTTCTCAACCCTTTTATTTCCTATTTGTATATATCTCTCAAAAACAGTGAGAGAGGGAGAGAGAGAGAGGGTGCGAGTATCTCTCCCTCTTTATTCCTTTTTATAAAAGTCTTACTTTTATTATGTCTTATTCATTCCATTCGATATCATATCATTTTATTCCACTTATTTCGTATCAGCATCTCAGTTCATATTCAATTCCCCCTTGAAAACCCCTCTCCATTTTATTTAAGCAACAACTTAACCGATTCATATTTCAATTCCATTCCATTCCACTTAGCGTAAGCTCACATCTAAAACCTAAATAGCTCAACTGAACAACCCAAATCACTTCCGTTTCATTCCATTCACTCACTGCCCATCGCCCACTGATAGCTCCTAGAGGGAACGCCATGGAAGTGACACACAACCGGACTAGAAACAAGCAACGAAGAAGTCAACAGAGGAAGAGAGAGAGCGAGATAGAGCACTCGGCGGGTTCCATTTCCACTTCCATTTTGCAGTCGCACTTTGTGCGAAACTCTGGGTGAAATTTATGTAATTTATATGGGCACTTGACTGTCTAAATTGCCTGCGGAGAGCAGCACCAGCCACGCCTACCTACCTACCACTCCCCAACCCAGAAGAAGTTCTTGCTGCTGCTGCTGCTGCTGCTGCTGCTGCTGCCACTTTTTATATCATCTACTTAGCCCTAATGGCAAATAATTAATTTCATGCTTCCGCGTTTCGTGTCGCCCACACGCCCACTGACCAGCGCTGGCCAGCAGTGGGCTGAAGGGCGGTAGGAGGAGCACTTCTCCTCGTGCGACTCCTCCTCCTCCTCCTGCACTCTGACCGCCCCTCAACGACCGTTTTCAATTTACAAATTGCTTATTTTTCGAAAACCAAATTGCGAGTGCCTTGGACTTGGAGCGCAGGCCAACCAACTGGCAGTTAATGCATTTTACGTGGCCAGTCAGAAGGACGGACGAACGGACGGACCGACAGACAGCGCAGCTAGTCGAGCAGACCCGCAAGCCAAAAAGCTGCTAGCTCCTGTTCGAGCAGGCAGCTCAATTACGGTTATAAATTTTGCCCAAGCCAAAATGGCGCAGCTCGAAATGAATAGCCTGCCTGACTGCCTGACTGCCTGCCAGCCAGCCAGCCAGCGAGCCTGAACTGCCTCCCCCAGCATCGGCCCCGGCCCGCCCCCACCCCCTCACACACTCTGCGCAAAATGTTATTAACTTCTTTTAGCCGAGTTGAGCCAAATTACATTGCGGTTGCCACTCAGCAGTCACTTTTATTGAGCTCCTCAGTTATCCTCGCTTATTTCGGCTGTCATTAGACGCTGCCCCGCCCACTTTTCCACGGCGCGAGCGCGCTCGGGGCGGGGGCAACTTTATTTATGGTGCGACATTTCAGCGAAATTTCGAGGCATGAAAACAAATTTATTGGCGCCATCAAATTGTTTTTGGGGCTACGCCTTTACGCGCTATACCCAGCCCAGCCCTGTGTCCCTCTCATTCTCTCTCATTCCCTCTCGACCCTTTTCTCATTCTCTGTGCTGTCATCGCAAACGTGGTCCAATTGCCTGGTCCACTTGGCCTTTTTATGGCCAACGCATAATTTTGTTGAGAGCTCTCTAACCATCACTCTTTGCCACCTCTCCTCCTCTCTTTCGCTCTCTCTCTCCCTCTCTCACTTTGGGCCACTTACACGCTGTGCCGCCATTTTCCGACTGAATGGCCAATGCATAAAACGCATAATAAAATAAATGACTAAACAGAATTACGATAAAGAGCCCGAAATGTGAAAGAAGTCAAATGTTAAACTTCGGCTAGAATTACGCTACAAATTTCGATGCATTTTTCATTTGCTTTTATTTGACAACTCAAAATAAATTGTTTCAGCTTAAAAAACAAAAAACAAAACAAAATTGTTTACGTCGAAACAGGGTTGATATACAATGGAAGAGATATGAAATGATATTGATGGGACTATGTAGAAATTATAAATAAATT